TCTTCAACTTATAAATCACAGATAATATTATTCCTTTACGCATTTACGATGGCGTCCATGCATAGCCCTCCTGCTAAACTATCAATTGTTGCAGAGTCAGATGAGGCGTTGGCACATAAGTTAGAGGAATTAAACAGGTTATATTTTTAAATTAATTAACGGGATTCAGACATTTGAGCTCCGATTCTAAGGCAGTCAATTTTGCGAAAGCTCCAGTGACTCTCTCGCGAAAACCATCAAATTCCAGTCTTGTATCTTCTGCGTCAGATGAAAGTGAGTTTAATTGCGGATTCCTATTTGTCCGAACACGTAAGTGTTTTTATACACACACGAGTTTACTCGCGTTGAAAATTGTCATTGTAAGCTTGGACCAACGTATTATGCTATAAGTAAACTTTTAGAGTGTTATTTTATATTTTCTGCGTGAGATGCAGCCCAAGGTGCTTCTACCTGTCGAATTTTGGCATAGTGAAATGTATATCATCAGATATGCCTGGAGCTTCCGCACGAGAGAAATAATTTTTTTTAAATTTGGGAAGCCAGTTGAACACAATGCAATGTACGTAAATAATTGGAGTGGTAAAATCCCTTTTGAACTCTTTGCTATTTTTACTAAGGCTTTAACTGTTTTCAAGGCACTTGAAGGGGACATGGAGTATCGAAGAATTTTAAGTTACTTGCTTTAAAATACCATCCACTGTCCATATTTACTTGTTCCCATTAAGTGAGTGAGCGTATTATGCATCTTGGATAATCTGGCCTCAGGTTTGTACAGCACTTGAATGAGCCACCTTTAATGGGAACCTTTTCTTTAAAAAGCCAATCAATGTGACTAACTCAGAATAACCTGCAAGCACATAGAATCAGTGGATTTCTTCTGGGTTCATGGGCCATTCTCGTATTTGTATAGGAAGTCTTTGAGCAAAAAGTATCTGTATTCGAAATTGGTTTTTTAAAAGGTTTTGATAAAGTCGGTCGAAGTCCACGAGCGACTGATTGATACAGCGGTTGATTTTATGTTCACCTTATTGGTTCAACAGAACTGTACCGGGAACTGTCTAATACCCAAAGCACGTTATGGTTTATCGACACTGGCCTAATTTTTCCGCATTTTGAAATCTGATATATTTATCTTCATGTAAAAATTATTGACCCATTCCCGCGTAAACTGCTGCTACACCTAGCCGGAAAACTGTACGCTGCGTTTGCGCGGCAACCGCTATCATAGTCGCAATAGCGTAATTCTCCTTATTAAGTGGGCCACCACCTACCTTAGCACTAGTACAGTTTGCAAGCATGTGCTGAAGAACAGCCTGACATATACCTGAGTAAGGTGATTGCAATAATTCTATTTGTTGTTCGCACAAGTAAGGAATTTAAATCAACCGAAGTAAGTAACGATGTTTAGACAGAAACAAATCCT